AAAAAAAAAAAAAAGCATTGCCATTGAGGGGTCCAGCCTACAGATGGAGGGTTATGATGTCAAGTCCTACCTGCAGGATACTGAGGTTTTGTCCTTCTCATGACAAAATTCAGTAAAATCTTGAGGCCCATTGAAAATCTCAAGCTGGTTTTTCCTTGCCCCAAAGACCACTCCTAGGATGCTTCCCCAGCTAGAAGAAATCAAAGTAATGTGAGTTAGTCTTTATCTGCAGACATGCTGACTCTCAGCATGTCTGAGTAGTTCCTGGGGCACTGGGGAGAGGTTTCTGGGGGGCTATGATCACTGAGGCTTGATCCCTCTTGTGACAGAGAGATTGAAGACATTTGCAAACTGGTTGGGATTGGTTTTTGGGTGTATTGTGTAGCCAATCAACAGAGATTATAATTGGCTTCTATGGTGATCTAATCTATGACTTAGATTGGCTTCCTTTGCACTGGGGCTTAATGAGCTGAGCTAATCTACCTAGATGTTCACTTTAACATCAGTCTAAGAAAGCTTGATTAGAAAGTTAAATCTGTGTCATTCTAAAACATGCCCTAGTAACATAAAAATGACTTGTTTTTATTATCTGCAACATTGTTTCCTTTACTCAAGCCAACAAAATTTTTTTAAAGATTTTTTATTTATTTATTTGAGAGAGAGAGAGAGAATGAGAGATAGAGAGCACGAGAGGGAAGAGGGTCAGAGGGAGAAGCAGACTCCCTGCTGAGCAGGGAGCCCGATGCGGGACTCGATCCCGGGACTCCAGGATCATGACCTGAGCCGAAGGCAGTCGCTTAACCAACTGAGCCACCCAGGCGCCCAAGCCAACAAAATTTGAGAGAGAGATCGGAGAGAAATGATAGGGAGAGAGAGATAGTTACACACCGACATACACACACAAACAGCAGTTTGAATTAGAGGGTGAGGCAGGAATTTCAGCTTATTGTAATATTTAATAGTACTTACATCATATTCAAAGTGCCAAAGGGAATTGGTAAGTTTGATGTGGGAGACCATGGGGAGAGGGTTGTCCTAGGAGAGGCCTACAGACAGCCCCTCTGTCTGTAGGCACCAAGGACAGAGGGAGGTCTACTCCTCTGTGCCTCGTGGTTCCTGGTCTGGTGTGACACCGTGTGGGAGGGATCCCATCCAGAGTGTGTTTCCTTCAGCTGCTGGCTGCCCCGAAGCCATAAAACAAAGCTGCCTGGGTCAGCAGCCTGCTTCCTGCCGCCTACCAGTGCAAGAACAGCTTGTCCCCCGTGTGCTCCAGCTTAATTCATGAGGGAAACCCAGGCAGCCGCTGTAGTCTCTGAGAGGCCTCTCTCTCCTGCTTCCAGCCGGAGTGTTGTGTGCCTACTGGTTTCGGGTCTAGATCCTGTGGTGCCACTGTCATACTCTCCAGGGACAGATACTCAGGGACACATACTTATTGAACACCTGTTCTGTGCCAGGCACTCAGTCCAAATGGGTGAACAGAGGTCATGCCTGATACCTGACTGCTCAAGCTTATACACCGGTTCACCATTGTCTCTCCCCAGAGCTGCTGGCCGGTGGTCTGTTCTTTGCCACAAGCCATGGCTCATGAGGGTGGCATGCTACCACTTGGCTATTTCCCCAGCCTCTGGCCTTCCCCCTCCCCCCTCCCCACCGGGGTATGGCCTTTGTGGTTACATGGTATCAGCACTCCTGCCTCAAACACCAGGGGGTGCATCCTTGTCCTCAAGGGACTCCCCACCTGCCATGTCCATGAGCGTAGATTGATCAGGTGCCCCTGAGCCAGCTCTGTGCTGTAGTGTTGTGGGATCACGAGGCATGCATAAGACAGTTTTGCCCTTAATTAACTTACCTAAGGATAATTCACAGCATGAGGCAGAACCTGCGCGGTCTCGGAAGTGAGGTATCCTTGGGGAATAATTATAGGAGTCCACTGGAGAGAGACTCACTGTAGGCAGAGGAAGCCCGGGTGGCTTCATGGAGGAAGTAGGATGTCAAACAAAGGGCTGGCTCATAAAGCAGGGGAGAGGAGCTAAGCATCGGCCCAGAGGGTCAAGCTGTTTAGGGAGAGTGGTTGCCTTCCACGGGACCTGAAAGGTCTGCTCCTCTCTTTCCCTTCCCCCTCCCTCAGCTCCACCCCTCCCCTGCTGCCTTCTTTTCCTATTTCCTTCCTCTTTCTTACACTTTCTCTTCATTCCCCACCGCCCTCCTCTGACTTCCCTGTGAACCCGGGCTCAGCCACCCTTTGGCTGGCGGGGTGCCCGTCCTGTGACATTACCACATTGTGGCTTCCTTTTATGGGCGGACCCTGCCAGGGCATGCTGGCTCTGGCCTGCCACTGGACTCCCATCTTCACTCCCGGGCTGGCCTGGCATACCGTCTTCTCAAAGATCACTTTGTTGGGCCGCACAAAGGGAACACTATGGGACAGGGGTTTCTGAGGAGGCCGAGGTCTCTGAGTGCTGCCGGTCCTCTGTGGCATCGGCCTTTCCCTGTCCGGGAGCCATCACTAAAAGCTGGGTGTAGTGGACACTGTGGGGCCCCGCTCGCCTGGCTGTCACTGGGACGCTGAAGGTGCCAGCTAGCGGCCGTTTGAGCCTGCCCATGCACCTTCCTCTCCTCCACCATCTTGGGGCCCATTTGCTCACACAAGTGGTATGGTTTTCAGACCAATTGAGGTTACTTCCCCCTTGCTCCCTGCCTTTCCTCTGATTAACAATCAGATTTTTATTATTCATCCACTTCTTCCTGATTCAGAATTCTTGAGAATGAGTCACCTTTTCTTCTGAGTTTGGGAGCCAAGTTTTCGAGTCTTGTTAAGTAATTAGGGGGATGTAGCACCAAGAGTTAACACCTGCATTTAACCAACCTAACCCCCACCCCAGGCCTACACGCCCTCAGTAAAGTGAACAGCTCTTTCCTACTAGCGCTGCTGGTTCTTTGCAATACTATGCTAATACAGCACAGGGCACATGCTGGTGAACGTGTATGTTTTCCAGGAATTTAGCTAGAACATAAGCTCCAGGGCCATAGGGACCTTGCCTGTCTTGTTCACTGATGAATCTCTGGTGCCCAGCGTGAGCTCAAGCAGTGGTTTGTTGAGTAAATGAATCAATAAACAAAACAGTAATTGCCTGCCTCCTGTGTTTCAGACGTTATGCTAATCACTCCTGGCGGGCAAACTGATATGTCTTCTCCCATCGTGGAGCTCACAGTCTAGAAGGAGAAACAGATAGGCAAGCAAATGGGCTGATCGTAAGGGTTAAAATAAAGGTCCATGTAAACGCTAGGAGAACACAGGACAGGCAGTGGATTTGGCCTGGGGAGGATGGAGGGAAAGCAAAAAAGGCGGTGAACCGTTCAGTGCGGTGCTGACGAGGGGCGGCAGGAGGAGGGCGGGGGGAGGTGGGGACCCTCACCTGCTGCCGCCCGCTTGGGCTGTGTGCTTCCAGGCCATGGACAGTGCAGCTGTGGGGACTGCCTGTGTGACTCGGACTGGACTGGCTACTACTGCAACTGCACTACGCGCACGGACACCTGCATGTCCAGCAATGGGTTGCTGTGCAGCGGCCGTGGCAAGTGTGAGTGTGGCAGCTGCGTGTGCATCCAGCCCGGCTCCTACGGGGACACCTGCGAGAAGTGCCCCACCTGCCCCGATGCCTGCACCTTTAAGAAGTGAGTGGGCTGGGAAGTGAGTTGGAGAGAGCAGGGTGCTGGCAGGAGGGGGAGGGTTCCCCCAGGCTGGTATCCACCCCCCTCCCACTCCTCCAGGGTCTGTCTCTTACTCACCAAAGCTTTAGGAAGAGGAGTCCCCTGCGGCTAAGAGGCTCGCTTTCCTCTTTCCACTGAAAAGTTGGGGGAAATGTTGGAGGGAGAGCCAACCAGGCAGGGGCCAAAGTAGTACCCTGGGGACTCCAGGTGGAGAAACCTGCTCTCCTGGGCTGGCATCCTGAATCCCTGAGTTGGGAGGAAGGCTAAACCAGGGAGCTTCCAGGGGAATGTTCCTGTGCTGATGTTCTGATTCTGTGGGAGATGTGGGGCTGCAGTTATGAAGGACACTGTGAGACGGGAGAAGGTCACGAGTATGTACTTCACTCATCTGGGGGTCAGGGGATGCTCCTGCCATTTCTCTTCCCACTTTAAGCAGGGCTGGACTCTTGGGTGCACAACCTGTGCATCTGTACAGCGCCCCGTGCTTAGAAGGGCCCCACACTTGGTTTACCGCTCTGCTGGTCCTGTCTTGTAATTCTTAGTCATTTTAAAACAGGGGACCTGACATTTGCCTTTGCACTGGGCTCCCAGATTACATGACCGGTTCTGCCTTTAAGGCTCCCCAATCTGGCATAGGCTTCACTTCCTGTCATACTCTCGGATGGGCCATGAAGAAGTTTAATGTGGGTGCTGGGACCCTCTGCCTGCCAGGCCTCCCACCCTGAACTCACAGACTTGACCCTCTGGGCCCCCGGGATTGTGGTACAGGTGTTTGTTTTCTGAGGTGGAGCAGCTTTCTGGTGAATGGAGGTCCGAGCCGGACTGAAACCTTGTAAATTTGTTCTTCTCTCGTCTTAATCTCTGTGTCCTCTCTCTTTTAGGGAGTGTGTGGAGTGCAAGAAATTTGACCGAGGAGCCCTCCATGAGGACAATACCTGCAACCGTTACTGTCGTGATGAGATCGAGTCTGTGAAGGAACTTAGTAAGTTCAGTGTATCTCAGAGTTGCGCGCGCACGCGCACACGCGCGCACGCACACACACACACACACAGCTTCTAAAATCGTGCAGTTAACCCCAGAACCTGTCCAACTCTCATCAGTAACATGGAAGAATAATTCCCACCTCAAAGGCATGTTGTGCGGACCTGCTGCATGCTAGGCACTCCATAAAAGCTGGCTTCCCTGAGTCCTCCTGCACCTCTACTAATTGGTTCCACAGTCCCTCACCATTCTGCTTCCCAGCACCCACAGACTCAGCAAGATCCTACAAGTAACTTTTAAAGTATGCCTGATTTCAGACCCTAACTTTACCTCCTCAAGGAAAAGAAGACAATGCATCCCATTTTACAGATGAAGAAACTGAGGCACAGAGTGACAGGCATCACTTTAGGAAGCTAGTAAGCATTTACTGAGTTTATTTAACAAAGAGTGTTAAACAGTGCCCAGGCATACTGCTTTGCTGGTTTGGAGGGAAACCTTTACCTTCATGGATTTGTAGCTAAACTCATTATGATGGAGCCCTTCCTGGAATAAGACAGATAAAAATACAGTGGGGAGCAAAACTCTTGCTTGCAGTTATTCTGGTTTGTACTTTACCTTGACTTAAAAGGAGATAATCTTTGCTGCTGTCAGCACATCTGATATGATTATCTGGGTCAGCTAGGCATTGGCTGGTAGCAGGGAGATGGTAATCTCTCCTGAGATAGCCATCTCCCATGAAGTCAGGAAACATGTTTTTTAGTGAGAGCCACAGGAAGACACAGTCAACTTCTGTCTGGGGGTTTTACAGAAAGGGTCAGATCTCTGGGCCCTTTGGCTAATATTAGAGGTGGGGCTGGGAGTGAGGATAGTGATTTGGGGATTGAGTTTGAAGACACAGCTTTTCCTCTGGAAGAGACTGGGTGTATGCTATGATTAGCTCAGGGGGGAGAGACTGCTGAGAGAAATGTGAGATGTTTTTATTACCTAGACCAGATGGATATCACAGGTTTCCTGATAAGTATTTCTCGTACCTCCTCCGCCCATGCCATAATAATCATAAAAATGAATGGTTGTTTGTATGGAATTGTATAACTTATAAAAGTTATGAAAGTGCCCTTTCATACCCACCATCTTATCCTTTTCTCAACAACCTAGTAAAGTAGAACTGTAGTACTGTTATCTTCATTTTACAAATGAGGATATGGAATTTCAGGCAAGATACATAATCTACTCGAACAAGTTAAGCTTAGAACTAAATCCGGAAATCCTTACCCTTTCCATTGTACTCTTATATCACTGGTTTTCTGAAGGCCTGTTGAGTTCAAGTCTGTAGGATGTGCTCTGAGACTCAACTTCTAGTCCTGCTCCATCATGCACCTGTGGTGCAACCTTGGGACATTTGCTTAACCTCATCATGTGTCAGTTTTACCCATCCGGCTTCATCACTGGAGGATATAGTGCAGCTAATGGAGGGTACCTATCATTTCCCTGTCAGAATAAGAGGTTTCAGAATCAGAAGGGATGAAGCCTACAAAACGTGATGGGAGTCTGAGAAGAAGGGATGGCTTGAGAGGAGCACTGGATCAGAAGCAGAAATGGAAGAAATATAGGGACTGAGTCAATGAATTATTAAGACTCATTGGGCAAGCAGAGAAGGGAAAGAGAGGGAAGCGAACACCCACTGTGTGTTAGGTACTATTTACTTTATGCCATTTAGTTCTTTACCAGCCTTGTGAGGTGGGGTATCATTTTCCTTTTATAGATGAAGAAAGAGAGAGCCGATGAGATCAAGTAACTTCCCTAGTATTACACAGCTGGCAGGTGGGAGGGCCAGGCTTTGAATCAGGCCGTGGAATGTGTTATGTCATGTCCCTTCCAGAGGAAGGAATAAGAACCAAAAAGGGCCTGTGAGGGACAAAATACATCTAGAGGGTCATCTAGAGGTAATTGCCAGGCCATCTCAAATCTAGACATCTTGCCTAACATCAGGCATAGGGTTTCCTGTTGCATACTTTCTCAGAAGTCTCATAACTGGGGCTTGGAGATGGCCCCATATTCCGGGAATTGACTCGCTTTTCATTCTTCCATCTTTTTCCCTTCCTCAGAGGATACTGGGAAGGATGCAGTGAATTGTACATACAAGAATGAGGATGACTGTGTCGTCAGATTCCAGTACTATGAAGACTCGAGTGGAAAGTCCATTCTCTATGTGGTAGAAGAGCCAGGTGAGTGAACCCTAAGGGCCATGTTAGGCAGTAATTTCCATCCATCACTCCTCTTATACAGAACAGCCAGTTTAAGTCTGACTTTACAAGTGATAAGTTAGGGCCTGTCATTGGGGTATGGGTGATATTTAAATACATATATTAGTGAAAAAGTGACTTTGCTAATTGAGGAGATAGAAAAATAAGAAGGTGGGTAAGGAAAGGAAAAAGGTAGAGGGGCGCCTGGGTAGCTCAGTTGGTTAAATGGCGGACTTGATTTTGGCTCAGGTCATGATTTCAGGGTCATGCGATTGAGCCCACATTGAGCTCTGCGCTCAGCGTGGAGTCTGTTTAAGATTCTCTCTCTCCCTGATGAACCATGAGAGATGATGGGCTCTGAAAAACAAACTGAGGGTTCTAGAGGGGAGGAGGGTGGGGGGATGGGTTAGCCTGGTGATGGGTATTAAAGAGGGCACATTCTGCGTGGAGCACTGGGTGTTATGCACAAACAATGAATCATGGAACACTACATCAAAAACAAATGATGTAATGTATGGTGATTAACACAACAATAAAAAATTTAAAAAAAAAGATTCTCTCTCTCCCTCTCCCTCTGCCCCTCCATCCACTCATGCTCTCTCTCTCTCTAAAATAAATAAATAAAACCTTAAAAAAAAAAGAAGGTAGATATGGATCCCATGAAGGGACAAAATATATCATGGCATTTTTTGAGGTGACAGTGTTAAGAAGTAAGGAATTTAAAGTCTAGGACTGTTCAACATCTGCTCTACTAAAAGTTAGGTGGTTGCCAAGAGAAACCTGCTTGCTGCTTCAGAGGAAGGCCTGATGCTTTGAGGTGTTGACCTTACCAGGCTGACCATGAGACATGGTGCCAGGTTTGAGGCACCCACCCAAGGTGCCCTGAACACTGAAAAGAGAGTGCTTGCTCTCAAGACCCTCTGGAAGCAGGAGGAGCCCATCTATCATATACACAGACCAACTGCAGTCTTGTCACCATCTAACCACAGTAGATTTGCTTGCTTCCCCTTACTTTCTCTGTCTCCTTCCTTTCTCTTAAACAGCAGACTAAGCTATGAATCGTTAGAAAATATTTCCGAGTACTTATTATATATCAGGCAGTGGACTAGGTGCTGGGAGTATCACAATAGATAAAGCAGATGTGGCACTCACAGGCCGGGGGAGAGGGGCACGTAAATCAATAATGACACTGCTGAGGGACAAGGGCTATGTTATGGAGGGGTTAGACAGGAACTTTTGGGAGTGAAGGAACAACGTCTGAAGGCAGAGACTAAGTCAGTTGGTTGCTTGACATTCTTAACAGCTGTAGGAATTTCTTCAGATCTTCCTTCAGACCAGGGTCCAGCAAACTCTTTCTGCAAAGGGCCAGATGTTAAATATTTTAGGCTTTGTGGGCCATGTGGTCTCTGTCATGACTCCTCTGCCACTGTAACAGGAAAGCAGCATATATTTAATGCACGAGCCTAAGCATATTTACAAAAAGAGATGGCAAGCCACATTTGGCTCCCAGACCGTAGTTTGCTGGCCCCTGCTTTAGGAAAGTGGGTCTCAAACTTTTGTACGTTCCCCCTTGTTAAAAAGAACCCAGAGTCCTGAGCCCTTTCCTACTTCCATGAGCCTCTGTGTTCTTGATTAGTGCTCCTGGCAATTGTGAAACACCCCAGTATTTGAGTGCCTCTGTTTTGGACACATTACTTCCCTTGATGAGCCTTCTCAGACCTCCTCCAGCATCCATGCTGCTGATTCGGTTGGGAGCTCAGAGCAGCTGTGCTTCCCTTAGAAGTGCCTTCATCACACCATTAAATTGCTTCTTTCATCACCCATCCCCCTCCGTAGATCACAAGCTCCATGAACACAGGGACTGTCTTATCTATCATTATATCCATACTTGGCTCAGTCATTGACAGAGAAGATACTTGATAAACAGTTTTTGAGTGAATTCATAGGACTGATTATTCCTAGGAGACAGGCAGGCTTGTATACCACTCGGTACCTGCTAGGAGGACTTGGGCTGCTTGGAGAAGGAAGGGGGCGAAAGGGGGAAGAAGCTCTGCTACACCTGTGTCAGCCAGGGTTTTGTTGGCTCCATGGGTAGAGGAAAGCATGGTGCCCCCATCTGTGATATTGTTCACCAGCCTTGCCCAGGGCTCTCACCTTTAGAAGGAAGAAGGGTGGTAAAGAAAGGGTATGGCCTTCATTTTATTTACTGACTCAAGGGAAAGCTAACATGGGAAGGGGAAAGGGAAGAGCCTGGATATGTATCTGTGGAGGAGCAGATGTGGATTATTTGGCCATGACCCCCCACACTTTCCCATCTACCTGTGTTAACACATTTCATGGATTTTTCTACACCCACCATATCTGTACCTTTGTCCTTTCTCCTTTCAGAAGGGCGGTATGTTCTCGCTTTTGGGTTTAACATTACTTTATGTCTTTGCTGCAATAATCCTTACTGATGCTTCTGCTATATCACTTACCAAAATCTTTTGGCTTGATGTTCTTAGACTGGATCTCCTTACCTGGAGTTGTGGGGAATAAAGATGGTGATAACCTGAGCTGGTACAAATAACCCCTGGAGGGGGGGTAACTTTTCTGATGTGGACCCCCTCCTCCACATTGGGAAATGGGATCCTAGACCTACATTTAATATCTTGTTGCCCCAGAATTCCAAGTTCTGCCTCTCCTCTCACCCACCACCTCCAACCATTTTCAGGTGCTCTGGTTTCAAGCAGAATGTAGCACTTGAGGTCCTGGAGTATAGAGGATTATTCTCATTCTCTTCTCTAACTCACGCCCTTGTAGATGCTGTCCCTGGAGGGCTGGACCATTTCAGGGCAGTAGAGAGAGCACTACCAAAGGGCTTGGCATTGGCTGGGTGGTGTTCAGCCTGCATAGAATGGGATCCCCTGAGCTGGGTCCTCATCACTCTCACATAGGGTTTCCTGGAAAATACAGTATATACCATGCAATATTTAGTACATACTTAGGCTAAAAAGTCATTCATTGTTTATCTGAAATTCACATTTAACTGGACTTCCTATACTTTTGTATAATCTGCTAGTCCCACCCAATCTTTCTTTTTTTTTTTTTAAAAGATTTTATTTATTTATTTGAGAGAGAGAGTGAGAGAGAGAGAGCACATGAGAGGGGGGAGGGTCAGAGGGAGAAGCAGACTCCCTGCTGAGCAGGGAGCCCGATGCGGGACTCGATCCAGGGACTCCAGGATCATGACCTGAGCCGAAGGCAGTCGCTTAACCAACTGAGCCACCCAGGCGCCCCCACCCAATCTTTCTTGACCTCAGGTGCCCGCCATGGGTCCTCATCACTGTGGCTAGGAGAGCTCTCTAGAGACCACCTGATCTTGTCCTCTGCTTCCAGAAAGCCTGCCATCCACCCCCTTAAGGACAAATGCTTAACAGATGCTTTTCCCTGAAGATCTCTTGACATTCCACCTGTCCTGTCCATACTGGCATACAGAATTGAAGAGATTTTACTCTGAGGTTTGAGGGTCAGCCCTATCTTCCAGAGACTTTGTAATTGTTTTTCCCAGAAGAACTGGGACCCTTCACTCCTGGGAACTCAGACACTGGGACCTCAGAGCCTCTCTGCAGATGCTTCTTTAATTATAGACAGGTTATAATTTGGTGGCTTGGGAAAGAGCCAGCTTGGGTTTGTGTTGGTGGTTGTTTTTGGGTCATGTGTGGTGAGCACAGAGTATATGTTTAGAGAAGAAGGTGGGAGACAGTGTGGAAAGTGGGTGTGACCTCCTCTCCAGACCCATCAATATTCATATATCCAAACACCTAATTATATAACACCTGAGAAGTCACTGGAGTGAGGTCATCCATCAGACACCTGTGGTTTATGGGAAGCAGAGCTCTGTGGAGCACACTCAGCTTGGCCCTCAGAAGGGTGACACACCTCAGTCTGTGTTGGTTGTTGACTGGGTTTCAACAGGAAGTCAGCTCTCAATAGGGTTGAGATTTTAGATGACGAAATATTTTGGGAAGGAGCCCAAAATATTCTCTTGGTTGGCAGGCCTCCTGGTCTCTAAGTGTGCTAACAAGGTCATTAGGTTTCCAGCCCTCAGGGATGTACATATCTAAATCAGGGTAACAAATGCCTACAGGAGCTAGGTACATAACTTACTGAAAACAGTCAGATATGACAGGAAGGCCAGTAAGAACGGTAGCTGATATTTATTGAGCACTGAGTTTGTGCCAGGCAGTCTTCTGAGTTCTTTAAATATATGGAGAAATAGGAAACAGACACCCACAAAGGTGAAATAATTTATCGAAGGTCCCATAGCAAAGTAAGTGGTAAGCCAGGATTTGAACCCAGGCAGGCTAACTCCAGAGCTCAAGGTAGCATGGCCTCAATGATGTTACCTGTTGCCTCTGTTTAGTGGGGAAAAGAGGATGGTGAGAACTCTGGCAAACTAGAAAATGTGTCCCATCTAATGGGGACAGCTGCTCCTCCCATCTCACCAGGGCTGCCCTGTGGGTTCAGTGTTTCCAGACCTTTTGATTTTTTTTTTTTCTAAAGAGAAAAAGAAGAATCTGAAATTTCAGGGGGGAGAATCTCCTGATTATTCAATGTTGCCAACAAAATCAAAATTTTTTATTAAGTTTTTATTTTAACTCCGGTGTAGTTAACATAAAATCAGATTTTTAATGAACACTTACATAGGTTGTAATGGGTGACCTGCTTATGGGTGACCTGCTTATGACCTCTGACTGAAACCACTCAGGACAGATTACTGCTGTCTTAAAGATCGGCACCCCCTCCTTTAAAAAATTAGTTGGTGTATTTCCTAAGTCCTGTTTCCTTTAGAGAACTTTCTAGTAATTTCTTTCTTGGTCAAGAAGATCTATTCATAGCCAGTTTAAGTGATTCCTGCTACATTCACAACCTCTCTGCTCTGTGCTCTCTCCTGACAGAGTGTCCCAAGGGTCCTGACATCCTGGTGGTCCTGCTTTCAGTGATGGGGGCCATTTTGCTCATCGGCCTTGCTACTCTGCTCATCTGGAAGCTCCTCATCACCATCCATGACCGGAAGGAGTTTGCTAAATTTGAGGAAGAGAGAGCCAGAGCAAAATGGGACACAGTAAGAGGCTGGGCTGGGCATTTTCTCAAGTCATTGGTTTGAGAGCCTCAAGTGGAAGCTGCAGATGCATAGGGTGGCCAGGTTCAGCTAGCCCATAATTTCCCAGTTAGCCTCTGTTCTGGAAATTAGGAGATGGTCCCATTGTCCTTATTATACCTGGAAACCACCCGATTCTCCCTCTACCACATAGTGACGACGAGTCATGTCAGTGAGTACTGACTGAACACAGGTAGGGCGCAGCTCTGCTCTGGACACTGATGCAATGAAAAAGAGACTTCTCCAGTTGAAGAAGATAGGACAAACTTGAGAATCCTACACTGAGAACATATAATACATTATATACTAATGAAGTCCAAAGCATTAAACACAAACAGGAAATTAAAAAAAAAAAGAGCTAACTTTTTCTGAGGATTCACCATATACTAGGAACTGTTCTAAATGATTTTTAGGTATTAACTTCTTCCATCCCTGTAACAGCCCTAGATAGGAGGCAGCATTATTTTTCCCATTTTATAGGTAAGGAAACAGCACAGAGAGCTTAAGCAGCTTGCCCCGATTGTGGGAGGGAATTAAGTTATGATAGGAATTACTTTTTGGGCCAGCCTCTTAAAAAATATCCTTGGGGTTCCTGGGTGGCTCAGTCAGTTAGGCGTCTGCCTTCAGCTCAGGTTATTATCCCAGGGTCCTGGGATCGAGCCCCTCGTTGGGCTCCCTGCTCAGCAGGGAGTCTGCTTCTCCCTCTCCCTCTGCTGTTCCCTCCACTTGTGCGCTCTCTCTCTGTCAAATGAATAAGTAAATAAAATCTTAAAAAAATATCCTCCCTGCAGTTTATCCTGATAGAATTAAATGAAACAATCGTCTACTGAGAACTTTCTGTATACTTAATTTTACTCTGTTCTTCTTTGGTTCATCTTCCACATTTTAACTTTTTTCTGGACCTTCCAAATGGCTGTTTGACTCCATGCATGTCCAGGGGGAAGGCTTGAGATTCTCTCTCTCTGCCCCTGCCCCCTCCAAATAAGTGAATAAATCTTAAAAAAAAAGAATTTGGGAAACCCAGTGAGGGTTTATTTTTTCTTGCTAACATGACAATTTGTGGGTAGTGCTTGGAGGGATGAGATGAGAACAAATTAAACTTATTTTGAGCAAAAGCTGTCCTCTCGGTTTCAGCTACCACCTGCTACATTTCCCATCTCTGCCCACTTCCCCCAGCATGGTCACAAGGAAGGAAAAATGGGGAGAAGGGCAAAAGAGAGTTCAAGAGAGAGGCAAGAAATCAATACTGGCAAAAAGAGATCCTGAAATGTTTGGTGATCCCCCAAAAAGTCATGGGCTGGATTCAGCCCCTTAGAAATAGCAGTAGGATGGCTTTCCATCTTCTCTCTGCTCTTATTTCCTATCCATTCCCATCTTAAGGGTGAATATGGGTTACAATGAGCATTAAGTGGTTCGTCAGTGGTATATCCCAGAGAAGGGTGTCTTGCGTAGACTTTTCAGACGAAATGTAATCCTTGAGGGTAGGGGAGAGGTGAGGAATTCACTGCTTCTCTGTTCTCTCCACAGGCCAACAACCCACTGTACAAAGAGGCCACATCCACCTTCACCAATATCACCTACCGGGGCACTTAATGACAAGGAGTCATCCTCAGATCACTATCAGGCTGTCCCAGAATTGTGGACATCTCTGCTGTCATGTTTACAGGGAACGATATCCGTGGGGCGGGATTGGGGGCTGGGTGCGGGGTGGTTCGGAAGAACATCAGTCTGTGGAAGTGTGGGTTTCCGTGCGTGTGTCCATGTGAGTGTGCTGCGTGTGGGGGAATGTGTAATTTAAAACTTGTGGTATGTCCCAGGTAAGCGGAGCTCCTCAGCCGTCCACAGAATGCCTCCTTCAGGGATTCTTCCTGCTTAACCTGAGGGTGACTGACACAGCTGAGCAGGTGTTCTACATTACCTCAGTGAGACGCCAGCTTTCCTTTTCCGGCCATTTCTTCCTGAAGAGGAGGGCAGGGCTGAGCTTCCCATTCCAGAGGAAGGGACCTTGACTCTACTTTGAGTTCACGGTTCTTGGGCCTGATGCTCAGGAGCCCTGATAGCAACTGCTGGGCTTGGCAGGCTTGTTGTGTCATCTGGGCCTTTATCTCCTTTCCCTTCCCTCAGGCTGAAGGAGAAATCGGAGGCAAGCTGAACTTTCAGAGTTGCCTGTGCCTTTTGCCATCACCTCAATCCCGTATGGTTCTCTCATGAGGGGAGTTCTTGCTAGCAGTTCTGTGGGGCGTGAGGATGGTAGGGCCACTCAGGGGTCATGCATGGCCTGGATGAATGTGCCACGGTCTCCCAGTTCATCATCATCACCCTTCATATTTGTCTCATCGGCAGCTCTACCCTAGAAGTTCCTTTAGAAGAAGTGCGTCACCCTTAGACCAGCATTGCTTCTGTACCTTCTACTTCCACACTCCCACTGCTGTAGACATTTGCTACATCCTGGGGATTTCTTTCATGACCACTTTTCCTCCCAGGGAGAATGCTGTGATTAGAGCCAGTGGTCTGGCCCCACCCTTCAGGCCCTCCGCCCCTGGTCCAGGGCACCTCCACACACCCAACCTGGTGCTTCTGTGTGCTACATCCATCCATCCATGCGGCTGATTGCATTTATCTACCTCTTGGCTGTCCTTGGGTGAAGGAATCATTCCCATGGCTCTCCGAGTCTGCTGGGCATAAGTGCCACATTTGGAATGCTGGGTCAGTTGTATCAGCATGTGTGGCCTCTTCTCCTTGTGGGCTGGGCAACCTCATTTTAACTCAGTCTTTAATCCGAGAGGCCAGAAGTGCAATTTTATTTTATTTTTCTCATTGGGTCACCTGAAACCGTGATGAGGCTTGCTTAATCTAAAGGAGTATGTATATAATCACACTTGCATTATATTTGTAACTTTATTTGGTGGTGAGGAAGAAGAGTGTTAAAAAAAAAAAAACCCACACAGACTTGGACTGGATACAGACCCTCCCACGTGGCGTCATTCATAGGAAGTTGCTGCTCTGTTGCTGGGTCTGTAAGGGCTCTCTCATCCTGGAAGCCTGTGGGGATGGACCCATGGGCATGCTGGACCTTTTCTGAGGAGGTGGGATACAGGCAGTTCTTTTTTCCTAGCCATAGCTGTTTGCTCCGTTGGTGTTTACCTTAGTCTAACATTAACAACCACCCTTACCCCCATTCCATCAAGAAAAAGGGAAGGACCTGTAGACAGTGGTCTGATGATCAGAAAATCTAAGTCCTGGCCTCAGTGTTGCAGCTAAGGAATCTTTAACCTTAATTAAGGCGAGTCTCTTTCTTCTCCTTGGGGCCCAATTTTCTAGTCTGGAAAATGATAGGTTTGGACCAGTCACTCTAGAAGGTCTCTTTTGGTGTTGATATTCTAAGATGCTGGGACTTCCTGTGGCATCAAGCATGGAGTCAAGATTCTGTGAGATGTTACTGTTTGTTGTTTTAGTTGGGAGATCTGAGAGACCTGGCTTTGGCAAGAGCAGATGTCATTCCACATCACCTTTCTCAACAAAAGAGCCTCATTCTATCCTCTCTCAGAACCCTTTCCCTGACATTTGTTAGCAGTTACATCTCCTGATGTAGCACTCAAGCTCCACTTAGTTTATTATTTCTTATTTCACTTTGCACACATTTGCATCCACATATAAGGAAAAGGCATCTATAAGAAGTAGCTGAAATATGTATTCTGTATCCGTGGGTTAACATTGAGAATAAGCTTTTGGAATTAGGAATGGGGCAAATGACTGAGCCTTGTCTCATCCATGGATTACTGTTTACTGAAGGGGATGGTAGTACAGTTGGGGGTTGAATCCAAGAAGTTTCAAACCTAACTATACCTTATGCCTACTGAGACAAGAGTCCATTAGAGCAGTAGTTGGACATTTTCTTTAGATAAGATGGTTTATATGAAGAAATTGTATCAAAGGAGGAAGAACACATATTTAAAAGATAAAAAACTGGTAGGATTCTTGTCTGAGCTTCTGGAACAAGACTGCTAAGCCTTTGTCTGTATGTGGGGGGACCTGTTCATGAGATAACAAAGTGCAGTCAGTTCTGGCCTCATGTAGGGTGAACGTCTAAATAGTATTTTGGCATTGGCACAGCCCCAAAAGGTTATTCATGCTCAGCTCATCTGGAGATAATTTATGTTCAGTCTCAGGGTCCGTGGACAGTAACGGGAAGCTTTGAACATTCCTGACAAATTGTCACATAAGGAGTCAGTTCTTTACCTCTCAGATATTCTTAGACCATCCATGATTTCAAGATACTTCGCTTTGTTAAGTATTCCTGGTTGAAATGACTTAAGTGCCTTCCTGACTTCCCAACCACCCCCTCTGTTTGAGTTGTGCAACAGTGAATTAAATGTGCTTTCCAAAATGAATTGACCGAAGGCTGCCCAGTTCTTCCTGTGTTGTACTTTCTGTTTTCTTTGGGTGAAAAGAGTAAGTGTCATTGCCTCAAAAATGATTATTTTAGAAGAAGCATGTTTCCAAATGTAACCGAATGATGACTGCTATGGGAACTGAAGTTCAGTCCAGAACCCAGAGTTTTTCTTTAGACTTTAATAACATTTTCAAAGTCAGTAGGTTATTACGCTCTAAGTTAGAGTTGTTTTGCTTTTTAATTGGGGATTTTTTAGAACTTGTGCAACCTCAATAGAACAGACTGTCAATTTAGCCTCGGTTTTGTTTGCAGGAGCCATAAATCGGTACAATAAAGGCTTAATGGCAAATTATTTACAGGATCATTTAAGTGCCCAACTTTTATTTAAGGAATTAAGTCTCAGAGTGTGGTCCCAGGACCAGTGGCCTCTGTATCATATGGGAATTTTTAGTTTACTAACATTGTTGGTAATGAAAATGCAAAGGCCACACCCCAGAACTACTAACTCCGAAAACCCGAGAGTGGGGCCCAGCATTCTCTTTCAGTAAGCCTTCCTGGTGATTCTGTGGCATACTCCAGTCTAAGAACCACTGACATTGGGGCGCCTGGGTGGCTCAGTCGTTAAGGGTCTGCGTTCGGCTCAGGTCATGATTCCAGGGTCCTGGGATCAAGCCCCACATCAGGCTCCCCGCTCTGTAGGAAGCCTGCTTCTTCCTCTCCCACTCTCCCTGCTTGTGTTCCCTCTCTAGCTGTGTCTCTCTCTGTCAAATAAATAAATAAAATCTTTAAAAAAAAAAAAAGAACCACTGACATAAAGAGTCACATACCTATCCTTCTGGCTTAATAAGTTTGCAGTAAGTGAGCTCAGTTACTAAAAATTATGAACAGAGCTTGGCTGGTAGATTAAGAAAACCAAATATCTGCCCACATAAAATGAAAATCTACTTTTGATCCATTTTCCAAGTTAAGTGATCAAAGGCTTCTTGGGTTCTGTGTCAGCCACCAATTCCCATGAAAAACTAAAAGAAGTAATAGATCAAAATCACAGGCAAAAACAACAACTAACAGGATCCTTGGCAGGCATCTAAGAAGAACTTTTATTCACAGGGGATGGGATCAATATCTTCATTATTTGCACTATCATTCTATAGCATAAGACTTTAGAATTTGTAACTTCACTTTGCTATTTAAAATGTACTGAGCCTCAACAGTGTGGGACTGAAGTTACTTTACAGGACACTCAATCTTTGCCTTTGAGTCTTGCATTCCTTACATAATGTACATTTTTAAAAACACATTATAGTGCATGACGTCATAAAAAGATTACGTGAACATAGACTGAGTCCTTTTATGGTGAAATTTTGTAAGAGTCACTATGTTTTATTTATGTCATGGCAACTGATGACTAAATGTCTGGATGAAAATGGAGGACTTTGTGAAAATGAAATGAAAAGCTATATGTCAAATCATATTAGTAATCACCCAACTCTTGGACTCTGTAGTCTGAACTTTATAGTAGGAGCCACAGTGCACTCATTTTTCACACTGATGTAAGGAAACAATAGCATATGCTTTGCAAGGAAGCCATTTACTACTTGTTGAAAAATAATTTCTATTTGGTTTTGTAATATATTTCTGGAAATACATATTTCTAACTTTTTGTAGTTTGACTAAAGCATACAAGGAGGTAGTTTTAAATGCTTGTGATAGGGGTTAACTATATTGGTTTTTTTTCTACTTAAAAGTCTTATTTTATCCTGTTTTTTAATACGAATTCAATTAATTAACATACAATGTATTACTGGTTTCAGAGGTACAGGTCTGTGATTCATCATCTTATATAATATCCAGTGCTTATTAAATCACATGCCCTCCTTAATGTCCATCACCCAGTTACCCCATCCCCCAACCCCCTCCCCTCCAGCAACCCTCAGTTTGTTTCCTATGATTAAGAGTGTCTTATGGTTTGTCTCCCTCTCTGGTTTCGCCTTGTTTTATTTTTTCCTCTCTTTCCCTGTGATCCTCTGGGGGTTAACTATATTGTTAAATAAAAATTTAAAAGTCCACTTAATGTGGCTACCCAAGAATGGTTAGTATGTGAAAAGAAAATTGTCAGAAACATGATTGTGTTCCCTGCAACTGCTGTCATAGCGAAGTCTCTCCAATCTCTTACACAGAGGAAACAATTTCCATCAGCTGTGTATTTTCTGACAGTGCATCAAAGCATGCTTATAGAATATAAATCTAGAAATCAACATTTAGGATATTTAAGAGCCTTTAAGCAAAATCTCCCCAGTAAATTATTCTTTATTGTTGTCCCTGAAAAGAACTTTGTAAGAAAAAAAAATTTCGGGTGCGTGGGTGGCTCAGTTGGTTAAGCGACTGCCTTCGGCTCAGGTCATGATCCTGGAGTCCCGGGATCGAGTCCCGTATCGGGCTCCCTGCTCAGCAGGGAGTCTGCTTCTCCGTCTGACCCTCCCCCCTCTCATGCTCTCTCTATCTCATTCTCTCTCTTAAATAAATAAATAAATAAATAAATAAATCTTTAAAAAAAATTTCACCATTCATTGTGGTTTATGTTATATATTAGTTGGGTTTTCCTGTGACTCATACACAATTGGCATGATTCTTTGGAGAGAGCAGAGTGCTGGGTGTGTAAATAGCATTTGGTGGCCAATGAAAATACTTTGTTAAGAAAAAGGAAAAATGTTGATGGACGTATGCTAGACTTTGCTTTTCCCGACTCTTATAATTACCCATTATAAGAGTCGCTAATTGTGACAGAGGTTGCTAATTGTGCCCCCCTGTTTTCCCCTTCTCACATAATATTAGAACTCCTAATTTTCAGTTGGACACATGGCTGTCAGAATAAATCCTGTTTCCTAGCCTCCTTTGCAGCTAGGTGTGCCATGTCCATCTCAAAGAAGTGAGATGTAAATGAAAGAGGTGCA